GACGGACCCCAGCCGGGGAAGGACCCCAGGCAGGGACCTAAGCGACGAACGGCGCGTCCGTGACGTCAGAGGGGCCGGCGCATAGGTGTCTGCGGCGAATGCCTGCGCAGAAAGAGGGGTGGCGGGGCGCCTGGGTCCTCTCCCTTTATGTCTCCTCCCGGCCCTGGTGGGCTGGGCTAGGCGCGGGGCCGGCGGGAGTTCCCGCTCGACCTTGGCCAGGGCACCTGTCTCTTCGTGCCTCAGTTTCCCCCAGTGCCCGGTGGGGCCAGTGGCGCTGCTGCGCTGCCTCATGTGGAGGGCGGGGCAGTAATTCGGGGCTGCAGCACTGCGGGGGCCAAGTACCGATGGGGCAGGGTGGGACGCTCGCCCTATGGCACCCCAGGGAGCGGTGTGGGGCTTGCCAGGGACCCACAGCCTGGGGCTAATGACTCCGCTGCAGGCCCTGAGCACACGCTTGGCCCTGCCCGCCAAGGGCCCTGCCAGGCTGCTGTCCTGCAGTCGGACCCTCGTGCCCACCCCAAGTCTCTTTGAAATTGGAGGCGCTCAGCATGCGCACAGGAGTCTGCCTGCCCTCTCCTCTAGGCAGCTGGCACCCAAGTTAATTCCCACACTGTTTCCACCTTGTAACACTGAAAGTGCGGGCTTGTCACCTCAAACAAAACGGACACTTTGCGTGCAGAGTTACGGTCCCGGACGATTGGAAAAAGGCAAATGTAGTGCCCATCTTTAAGAAAAGGAAGAAGAACAATCCAAGGGACTACAGACTGGTCAGCCTTAGCTCAGTGCCTGGAAAAATCATGGAGAGATCCTCAAGGAAATTATTCGTAAACACTTGAAAGGGAGGCAGTTGATCAGGAACAGTCAATATGGATTCATCAAAGGCAAGCCATGCCTGACCAACCTTCTATGATTGCCTTCTATGCTGAGACAACTGTCTCTGTGGACATAAGCAAGGCAGTGGACATGATTTACCTTGACTTTAGCAAAGCTTTTGAGTTGTCTCCTACAGTATTCTTGCTAGTAAGTTAAGGAAGTGTGGGTTGGATAAATGGACTGTAAGGTAGATAAAAAGCTGGCTAGATTGTTGGGCTCAACAGGCTCGATGTCAGGTCGGCAGTCGGTTTCAAGGAGGGTGCCCCCAGGGTCAGTTTTAGGGCCATTTTGTTCAACGTCCTTATTAATGACCTAGATAAAGAAATGGATTGCACCATCATCAAGTTCACGGATTACACTAAAATGGGAGGGGGGAGAGAGGTAGGGTCTGTCTAGACTCCAGGGTTTTGTCAACAAATTTCACATAACGTTGACAGAACTCAGCAGTTTTGTCGACGGCAGTAAACCTCATTCTATGAGGAATAATGCCTTTTGTCGACAGAGTTTTGTCGACAGAAGGCGTTATTGCATCTACAGTGTCCTTTGCGTCTACACTCTCATGTCGACAAAGCGGCTTGCTTTGTCAACAGAACTGGCTGTAGTCCAGACGCTCTTTGTCGACAGAAGCTTTGTCGACAGTATCTGTCGACAAAACTTCTGTCAACAAAAGCCTGTAATCTAGACATACTCCTAGATATGTTGGAGGGTAGGGATAGGGTCAAGAGTGACCTGGATAGATTAGAGGATTGGGCCAAAAGCAATCTGAGGAGGTTCAACAAGGACAAGTGTAGAGTCCTGCCATTGGGAAGGAAGAATCCCAAGCATTGTTACAGGCTGGGGACCGACTGGCTAAGCAGCAGTTCAGCAGAAAAGGACCTGGAGGAGAAACTGGATATGAGTCAACAGTGTGCCCTTGTAGCCAAGAAGGCTAATGGCATATTATGGTGCATTAGAAGGAACATTGCCAGCAGATCTAGATAAATGATTATTCCCCTTTATTTGGCATTGGTGAGGCCTCATCTGGAGTATTGCATCCAATTCTGGGCCCCCCATTATATAAATGGTGTGGACGCATTGGAGAGGGTCCAGCAGAGGGCAACCAAAAGGATTAGGGGGCTGGAGCACATGACTTACGAGGAGAGGCTGAGGGATTTGATCTTATTTAGTCTGCAGAAGAGAAGAGTGAGGGGGGATTTGATAGCAGCCCTCAACTACCTGAAGGGAGGTTCCAAAGGGGCTGGAGAGAGGCTGTTCGCAGTGGTGGCAGGTGGCAGAACAAGGAACAATGGGCTCACATTGCAGTGGGGGAGGTCTAGGTTGGATATTAGGAAAAACTATTTCCCGAGGAGGGTGGGGAAGCACTGGAATGGGTTACCTAAGGAGAGGGTAGAATCTCCATCCCTAGAGGTTTTTATGTCCTGACTTGACCAAGCCCTGGCTGGAATGGTTTAGTTGGGGCTGGTCCTGCTTTGGGAAGGGGACTGGACTCGATGACTCTTGAGGTCTCTTCCAGTCCTAGGATTCTGTGATGCTATGATTTTAAGGTTTTCTCACCAATTTGTGGACTATTTGTGTACCCACATGCTTTGATTGTTGCACTTAGAGTTGCAGACAAAGGAAAATACTGTGAGGAGGATACATAGTTCTTATCTGTGTTGGGGGTGTTGCATGTAGGGGTGTTCCCTGAGATCACAATTTGGCCACATTTCATGGGGCACTTTCTGTGCCCCCTGCACCTCGGAGAGCTGGCTCTTGCCTCCTACCCCAACCCTCCTGATCCCAGAG